CATTGGGCAAAAATGATCGCCACTGCAACGAGATATCTACTATCAGAAACCCGAAAGACTACGCTAGTTTAGCCTGAACAAGAATTCCTCGGAATTAGTTAGTGGCAAGGTAGGCCAACTTCTTAGTTCACAATCTAGGTGCGGGCAGAAATACGCAAAAAATGTAGTAGAGAAGTTGTTTGATCTTGTTTTCGCAACTTGGTCATATTGGTAGGAAGACTTAGAGGAACGCACTGATTGTTTGACCTTGTTTTCGCAACATGGTCATATTGGTAGGAAGACTTATTGGAACGCACCTAGTCCGGGGGTTGTCTGCATGATCATTTCCAAAGTTGAACCGTGGACGTGGTACATTCCCAAACGTTTCGCCGGCATCGTCAGTGAGTATCGCCATTCTTAGCACCATACATCAACTCGACAAAGAGACGCAAGATCTGAGAGGCCATTGATATACTGAGTGAGAGAAATCTAATGAACAGGAGACTTAAAGAAGGTAGGATGAGTGAAAACTTTGCATATCGCCTAAACAAACTCGGAGAAGACCAGGCAACAGGAAGAGCAGGAAAAAGAAGACGACTAGAACAAGGTAATATCCTTAATTTTAGGAAAAAAGATCGCAAGGGGATGAGAAAAGAAGAATCAGAAGCAGAGGATACGTCTTCAGTGAGCCTTATCAAAACAAGTAGAACCATGACATTTGTGGGTTGGCACACAAGAGACTAGGACATAAGGAGTGATAGTCATGGTAGTATAGATAGAAACAGGAAAGACGAGGTGGAGACTAAAGCTGTTTGTCTAAGAATAGACGTGTTTGATCTTAAAAGTAATCCTTAAATCACGACTATTGTTAGCCAGCCAGCTCTAGCTTCCACTGTTTCTGTCCCTAATACCAAGCCTATGATTTGCCATGCCCTAGTCTCTTGTGTGCCAACCCACAAATGTTGTGGTTCAACATTGAACCAAATAAAAACAAGCTGTACCGCAACATTTGTTGGTTGACATGCAAGAGACTATAGCATGGCAAATCATATACTTGTTATTAGGGATAGAAAGAGGAT